GTCCCACATTCCACTTAAGGAACAAGTATCCATCAATCACTCTTTCCCCTTTAGGCCATCGCTGTCCAAGCCCCAACCACACAGTGCTATCAAAATATCCAGTTTCAAGCTAGCAAAAGCACAACTCAAATCAAATCAAAAGATGATGCTAAATTGGGTGGGTTTAGGAACACATGCCAGGAATGCGCTTATACAAAGACATGGAGAGGTTAAGGGGCATGGGCAGAGAACAGCAAAGGGAGATTTCACTTGGAAAACTGCAAGCTAATTCAGCGTGGAAACCCTGATCTGAGCGATATTCAATTAGGCATGTTTTATACTAAGGTTCCGGTCACAGGGTGACTGGCCCCTTTAAGGGGAGATGGACCCAGTCTGACCTGGGATTAATCAGCTGAGGCTGGGGGGGCTAAGAGTCCGGTGGTGGCCTGCAGAGCACCTGATCCTCATAAAGGCCAGCAAGCAGATCAAGCTGAGGTGGAAATGTGCCGGGGAAAAGAACCTGGCTATTAGGCAAATCCAGCGCAGGTGGCCTGGGGAGTTGGGAACTGCAGGGAGTAGAAAGTGACTCCCACAGGAGGATCTGGCTTAGAGCAAGGACTCAGAAGGGCAGCGAGGTGAGGGAAAAGCAGTTGGGACTGTAGCCCATGTTGGGCAGAGGAATGACTTTATTTTGGTATTTGGCCTATACTTTCAGTGCAACGAATATATTGTGCCCTGAGGCAAGAGCCTGAAACAGACTCTCTTATTAGTTCTCTTACACTAAGACAGAGATGCATGCTGGAATCCCTTAGCGTAGCTTTAAGTCAGAGTGTCTGGGTACATCATGCATGACGAGGCTGTGGAATTTCACGGAGAGTACAATCATGCAATGCCCCAGGTCCTACACAACAAAGTCCACATAACCCATTCCCCACGCCAGCCAGCCTTGGCTCACAAGCTGCTAATCACGATGAACTGTTGTGGGGACGATAAAGCTGCCCCTGCTTAGTGGGTTACTTTGATCAGGCTAGCCCAGATCAAGGCACACATTGCCTTTATTTATTTCCAATCCACTGCTTTTACAATACAAAACAGGGAAAATTCAAAGGGGCCCAGGATTGCACTGATCATTGGTGTCCTCAACAGGGTAACAGCACAAAAGTGAGAGCGAGTTGCTTCTAGGTACGTGTTCTATCCCTCTGCTTTCCCCATTGTCATTCACCACCAGCACGTTCTTGGGAATTCCCCTCCCTTGATCCTAGCCGAGCAGACATTTCTTGTGGGGACTTTTCACTGCCAGCCCGCCACTAGGCCGGTCTCACAATAGCTGCATTCACAAGCGGAGGTCGTTGTATTTACCAGAGCAGTGCAGCGTAATGTCACAGGCCAGGCCTACAGTAAGCAATTACCAAGGAGCTAGCAGACAAAGCCAAGGCAGAGGAGGGCAGTGAGATGTGGGATTTAAATGTTAAAGACAAATACTGAATATGGAAATCAGCACACCGGAGAGAACGTGAACAAAAGTTTGAAGAGAAAGGGACACGTCTCAGGTTTGACCTATATCAGTTCATCAATCCCTGTTATCCTTTGTGTATATTTTTAACACTTCCCCCCAATCAATGTTTACAGTCTTTATTCCACCCCCTAAAAATAAATCTGTAGCAGCAGCCATCCAGTCACAATAGAGCAGCCCTATAATAAATCTAGTGCACACGGCTCAACACACAAGTCAATCACCACACTTCAGTAATCCAGTTAATATGCCAAAGCAACAACCTAGGACTCAAATTACTATACATAACCTAGGGCTTGTGAGCAAGCCATGAATAATCGCGTTGGAGTGCACAACACAAGGGTTCCCGAGCAACCCTACAGTAAACTAGTACATTCGCGCAATCCTCTTATGACTAGCCAGGGAGCACAGTTCAGCACTCACCAACCATCCTACAACAAGCCACTGAGGTCACAACAGAAAGGCCCAAAGTTCATCCCTTTTCCTCAACTAAGGGGAGGGAAGGCTGCAGCTCGGGCTTTAAGATTAAGCTAGATAAGTTTATGGAGGGAATGGTTTAATGGGATAACGTGATTTTAGTCAAATCAACAGCGTGCCATCGCTGGTAAATAGTATCAATGGCCAATGAGGGTCTGGCTGGAGAGTCTTGCCTACATGCTTGGGGTTCTACTGATCACCATATTTGGGGTCGGGAAGGAATTTTCCTCCAGGGTAGATTGGCAGAGGCCCTGGAGGTTTTTCGCCTTCCTCCGCAGCATGGGGCAGGGGTCGCTAGCTGGAGGATTCTCTGCAACTTGAAGTCTTTAAATCACAGAATTTGGGGACTTCAACAGCAGAGTCAAGGGAAAGGGGTTGGGTCAGCTTATGTGGCCTGCATCATGCGGGGGGTCAGACTAGATGATCATAATGGTCCCTTCTGACCTTGAAGTCTACGAGTCTATGAGCTCTGACAGGAGGTCAGGTGTGCCGGAGGTCTAGCCAAGCACCGGCAGCAAAGCGTGACTTTATTGCTCATGTCAAAGAGCAAGCAACATTTCCTTTTCTCCACTGCAAAGAGCAAAAGCAATATAATATTTGCGTTGTAGATCGCTCTTAACCACCAGGCCGCCTTCTCTTGAATGAATATGAAGCTCCATTTTTTGTTAATTTGGATTAGATCCAGATTCATTGGTCCATATACCAGCTTTCCAGGGCTCTATACTGCGTACACTATGAAAAGCTTCGTTGACGTGAATGGTTCCTGAAGACCTGTCTCGCTAATGAAACCTCATCAGGAATGCTCAAGAGGCCGCTTGTTCATTAGCTAATGCTGGCAGTACTTTGGCTTGCAGAGGTCAGAGCACAAAGCACTTTACCATCTATGTAGCAACTAAAATTGCCCTCGAAGCAAACAGAATAATTATTCTCGAGTCTCCTTGGTTATGGCAAAAGGATCCTACTCCTCCACCGATTTCAAAGCGCTTTACAAATATTGTCACCTCCACAAGATAGTATCCCCATTTTATAGATGGGAAAACAGACAGAGGTGAAATGACTTTCCCAGGTTCACACAGTGAATCAGTGGAAGAGGCAGGAGTAGGTCCCAAATCTTCTGGCTCCCAGTTCTGCACCTTAGGATAGTTTTTTTTAGGGCTCTCTCCCTTCCTTAGTAAACTAAAAAAAATCATTTAGGACTGAAACTGAATAGCAGGCTAGATCCACATTTTTCCAAGTTGAGTATGTCACCCAGCACTGAAAGCATACTACTAAGCATTTAATGCTGTCTATGAGATATTGGCAAATAAGCAGTGGCTGTGAAAGGACCAATTCCATGTTAGTCACACTTCTGACCTTGAGACAAGGTGTTCCGTGCATGCAGCATAAATGAGGTACATTACATAGCAAAGCTGTGAAGTTAAAGAACAAGTGCCAGCAATTCCATTTCAGGCTGATGGATATGGCAAGATGTGTTAGAGGGTCCAGAGTAACTGATTCTATAGTTAATTAAATCACAGAAAGCCTGGGTCTAAACATTTTCTTAGCCCTTGAGAAGATGAATGAGCAAGTCCTTCTCTCAGGGTGCGGCATGACCAGTTTTACCCCTACAGGATTCCTTGGATTCCACAGTAACCACGTTTCTGAGCATGACTGTTCTGTTACCCTTGTCCTAAAGCTACACCAATTATTTCTAGCCTCTCTCTCTTTCCCTGTTCCCCCAAGAATATCTCTTGCGCACACACATGTATGAGCTAAGAGTCCTCTGTTTTCAAATAGCTACACTTACATTCACCCACTCCCTGCGGACCCCTGAACACCCATCCCCACTATGTATAACTGAGAGGTGTCCACTTTTGCTGTTTGGAAAGCAGCTGAAAAATTGAAAACCATGGACAATTTTTTCAGAAGCAGGGAGGACAGAGTCCCCTTTATTCTTTAGCATAAATAATGGAAGGATTCATTCACATGCTCATAAGACAATAAAAGAAAGAAATAAAAACCAGCCCAATTTTGTTTTGCCAATCATGCACTTAATGTAATTTTCGTCTCTCGTCTCCTTGTGCTGGTGCATGGTGGTTCACAAAGACTTTAATAAGCTGGAAAGGTGCCAAACCCATTTCTGTCTCATTAAAAAAAAATCATCCCAGTGACAAAGGTGATTTTTTTCACATCAGCAGTCAATTCGCTCTCTGAATTACAACCCAACTGACAGACTGTCTTTAATGGGAGTTGACTCCTCTTTCTGATGTGTGTGTGTGTCTGTGTAGATTATTCATGAAAATTATCTGAAGTTTTAAAAATGGTTATTATAACCTCAGAGCCACGTGTAGCCTCTGGAAGCATAAAACCAATTATGACAGCCAAAAGATTATTAGGAACAGCCAAAGGACATAACAAAATAGCCTTCTTTCACTTTCCAAGCAGAACTCTATCTGGACTGTGCTCTAGGTTATGCTAGGGAATCGGTAACATGGCTTTAGCAAAACTGGGTGGATTTTGGTAAAATGTCACTGAGTGCGCAGAGGTTGTGCTTTTCTACTGACGTGGGGGATGCACAACTGTAAAATCAGGAGCGCAAAACAATGGCGGTAAGCGGAAGTCCATGTCCAAAGTAGCAGATCAGTGATACCTGTGTTTCAGTAAGTCTGCTGCACAGGGTGAAACTAATCTCTGGGGATCAGATCCTGAGCTGGCGCAAACTGTCACAGCTCCAGTTACTTCAATTGAGTTCTGACAATTGACACAAGTTGAGAATCTGACTGTAGGCCTTTAACATAAAGCTTTACAGAAGGATGGACTGTTACAGGATTCCTTCCTCCACAACATTAAAGTATTGGGTTTTTTTAATCAAATACAAAGATTTGTTATCCAGAGAAAATCCCCTTCTCAATTTCTAGTTGAGCTCTTTGGCACTTAGTACAGCAGCAAGATCTTGTTCCAAACTAATCTATATATTTTTTTTGCATTGCTACTTCAAGACTCCAGCCCCATGACTGTTTAGTGATCTTGTGCTAATTTCTCTCTTCTCAGCCTGGGAAGAAGCAGTGTGTTCTGTCCAACTATTGGATAAGTACAGCAGCATCAAGTTGACGGAACACATTACACACACTAAGGTAAGAATGATTTAGCCAGTAACGAATACTCAATGCGCCCTCTATCTGAGGAACTCCACTGCATTTGTGCAGACAGATGGACTCAGTGGTCCCACATATCCCTTCCATCACGTAATGCTTGTGATACTGTATATCCCAAGATGTCCTAAGGCGGGGGGGGAGGGGGGACAGTAATAGTTTTTAATTCACACTTATTGTGCAGTCTCTTCCTAAACCATAAAGTAACTTACAAGTTAACTCATATCAGCTTATAAATAACTGCTCACTGCAAGTTCATATATGATGCAGTCTCATGAAGAAAGTTCCATTCTGGATGAGAAACTCCTGAATCTTGAGGAATCTGCAAAAATAAGTGCGCCAAAGATAATCACTTGGTGACTAGAAACACATCAACTTCCAATGGACATTCATTAGAGCAGTGGTTCTCCAACTTTTGTATTGGTGAACCCTTTCACACAGCAAGCATATGAATGTGACCCCCCCCCCTTATAAATTAAAAAACACATTTTTTTAATATTTAACACTATTATAAATGCTGGAGGCGAAACAGGGTTTGGGGTGGAGGCTGACAGCTCGCGATCCCCCTAGTAATAACTTTGTGACCCCGAGGGGTCACGACCCCCAGTTTGAGAACCGCTGCATTAACGGCACTGATATCAGACTACCCCTTTGCTCATGGTCATTTCAGTTAGTTTGGCACTTGTAGGGAGATGCTTTCACACTGTCTCCCCCAAGCACTGACTCGGAATCCTGAGTGTGGACCAGAGATTTTTGCCTGCAGCACTGACTTTTTGATGAACAGAGACCTAAACATGATAGAAAACTGAAAGCAAACTGATGCTGTACAAACCTGTGTGGCCCAGAATCTTCGCTATCCTAATGCGAAGGAAAGATAGGAAGATTAGCAAGAACCCAATATGGCTGCACCCGGAGTTCTTTAATGACCTGAAAATCAAAAAGGAATCATACAAAAAGTGCAAACATGGACTAAAGAGGAGTACATAAGAGTAGTGCAAGGATGTGGACACAAAGTTAGAAAGGCTAAGGCACAAAATGAGATACACCTAGCCAGGCACATAAAAAGCAAAAAGACAATGTTTTATAAATACAATTAGGAACAAAAGACAAAGGAAAGCATAGGTCCACTACTTAGCAGAGAAGGAGAAGGCTAGTAACAGACAACAAAAAGAAGGCAGACATGTTTAACGGGGGGGATAGCTCAGTGGTTTGAGCATTGGCCTGCTAAACCCAGGGTTGTGAGTTTAATCCTTGATGGGGCCACTTAGGGATCTGGGGCAAAATCAGTACTTGGTCCTGCTAGTGAAGGCAGGGGGCTGGACTCAATGGCCTTTCGGGGTCCCTTCCAGTTCTATGAGATAGGTATAGGTAATGTTTGTTTCTGACTTCACTAAAAAAAGGTAATTGTGACCAGATGCTTAACACAAATAATATTAACAACCAGGGAAGAACACAAGGCAAAATAGGGAAAGAACAGGTTAAAGAATATTTAGGTAAGTTATATTCAAACTGGCAGGGCCTGACAAAATTCCCCTAGGGTATTTAAGCAACTAGCTGAAGCAATCTCAGAACCATTAGCAATTATCTCCAAGAACTCCGAGATCAGGTGAGGTCCCAAAGGACTGGAGAAGGGCAATATAATGCCTATCTTTAAAAAAGGGAAGAAACGGGACCTAGGGAATTATTGATCAGACAGCTTAACTTCGATACCTGGAAAGGTACTGGAACAAATGGTCAAGCAATTAATTTGTAAGCACCTAGTGGATAATAGGGTTATAAGTAAGGCTAAGCTTTTGTCACGGATATTTTTATTAAAAGTCACCTAGAGGTCACAGGCAATAAAGAAAAACTCATGGGAGCCCATGACCTGTTGGTGACTTTTACTAAAAATATCCATGACAAAATGGGAAGCTCATCTGTGGGGTCCCCACAGTGCCTGCAGTGGATAGGCAACTGCGGAGGCCCGCTTGGAGCTCTGGGGGCCCCCCAGCCACTCTCAGCCAGTCGGGAGCTCCAGGGAGGCCCCCGCCGCCCGCAGCAGCTTGGAGCTCCAGGGAAGCCCCGCCGCCCGGGAACTATAGGGTATCCCCATTAGGCTGCGGGGTACCCCTGCAGCTCCCGGCTGCCATGGGCTGAAGTCACGGAGGTTGCTAGAAGTCACGGATTCCGTGACTTCCACAAACTCCGTGGAAAAAAATCATAGCCTTAGTTATAAGCAATAGCCAACATGGATTTCTCAAAAACAAAATGATGCCAAACCTATCTAATTTCTGACAGCCTTACTGGCCTAATTAATGGAAGGAAGCTGGAAGATGTTATATGCACTTTGGAGGACAAGATTCGAATTCAAAATAACCTTGACGAATTGAAAATTGGTCTGAAATCAACAAGATGAAATTCAATACAGACAAGTGCAAAGTGCTACACTTAGGAAGGAAAAAATCAAATCCACAAATACAAAATGGGGAATAACTGGGTAAGTGGCAGTACAGCTGAAAAGGATTCGGGG